ACCATGGCAGTGCTAGAGGAAGTCACAAGTTCAGGTCCACTGTGGAGGAATTAATGTAAAGTGGTGTCCTGTGCCTCCTGGGTTTGTGCTACGGCAGTGCTACGTGTCTCCAATGCTACTAGTTTCTCTGGCTCTTACGGCTCTTGCAATGCTTACACTCTGCAGCAACTGACTTTTTCCTGGCAGTGAGGTTAGACTGTAATGCAAGGCATTTGCAGTCACAATGATGATGGGAGGCAGCGTTGAGCTGCCACACAAGTTCTTCCCAAAAGTGCTGCACAACTCTGTATACTGACTTGGACTCAGAATGCAAGGAAGTTTACCTGGTGCTGATTTTCTTTCATGAGAACAATGTCAGAGTCCAAGGAAAATCCTATGTTTAATTTTTTCTTTGCTCCAAATGGATGGCATTTAATTGGCTTTTCATCCTGTGCTGCTGAAGATTGTGGGATGACAACTTGTGTGATGTGAAAGTCTTTTGTACAATGCTCATTATATGTTATTATTCAATAAACAAGTGCCTCCATCTCTCACTTGGTTTCCCGGACTTTTGTGAATATCGTTTTTCTTAAATGTAGATGCATGACTTTAATGAAACTATTTAGATTAAAAGCATTTTGTTTCCTTCATCCAGTTCAAATCAAGAACTAGTGGGACTAACTTTGGAAATCAAAGTACTGCACCTGAACAAGACCAAGTATTAAACTTGTGATTACTGCCTTATATCCCAAAAGATGTTGTGCTTAGTTTTTGTGTTTTGCTTTACCAGCAGGTCATGGTCCCTGGGCAATGCCTTAATGATGCGACAGCATAAGCTATTTGGATATCTACAAGTTCTTAACACAATGTATTTGATCTGATCCAGAAATGCCATTTTTAAAAGTTTGACAATGCCAAAAGGAAATACAAGTTCACAAACAAACAAAATCCTATTTTCTGAACATTTTAGCTCTGGCTTTTATTTTACACTAAGCATACAACTCTCTGGAAGTGCCACAAGTTTATAACACAGAAAGATGTAATTTTCATTTAGTATAATTAAACAGAGATTTTCAATGTATGTTTTAAATAGAGCAGTTGAAGTGAATGTATTTTATCAGACATACTCAAATTTAACTATTCTATACTTCAAGTAACTTCTCAGTTTCCACTCACCTAGCAAGAGTCACACTTAGTAACTAACAGAATGACAAAACTTCATAAAGCACGTGTTTGTTGTTTAAAGGATATTGCTTCTCTTATAAAGTGTATTGTTTCAGTGGCCAAACCACCTAATTTAAAGTAATAATTTACATCTTATTGCAAACACTTTCCTTTACCAAACAATTTATGTCACCATGTTGGAGAATGGGCCCTCATACCAACACAAGGAATAATGCATACATTGGTGACATATATATCACTAGGACAATAGAAGGGAAAAGATGCAGGAGAAACCCAGACTCTACTGCCCTCTCCTAAACTGATCACATCTAGTTGTTTAGTAGCTTAGTATTGTGTTAAACTGCTTTTACAGGATTTATTTCTTCCTTCTTTCTTTTTGAATTAAACCAAGCAAAATATACAGATGACAACAAAGCTGTAAAAGGTACTGCTTCTTCCCACAGACACTGCTGAAAGGTCCAAGGAGCAGATGCAGCTGAGTCCCTAGGAGCCACAGTCTGCTCTGGGGTTGGGGCTCATTTTTCAGCTCACCCTTTGTGGGGCTGATGGTCTGTGTTGTACCCAGACTCAGCAGCAGTCAGAGCAGGCTTCCAATCCATACATTCTGAGGGATTTTCTTGGCAGGCACCAGGAAAGCATCTTCTGCATTCTCTCCCATTCTTCTATCTGCCATTCTCTTGAGGGAGTTGTGTGACTTCTTTACACATAAACTCTCTCTGAACCTTGTGAGCTGCTTTACTTCCTAGAACTGTTACTGCTTTTGGATTGGTGGGATTCCTCGCGTCTGTGAACCAGTTGCTTCCAAGGCCATGTGTCTTCGTTGCATCCCACATCACACATGCACCTGCAGCCCCTCTGCAGGGCTTCACGGGACAGCTCTGAATCATTCCTGTCCCGATGCATCCATTTTTAGTTTGTTTTTTGCTTCAATAGTTCTTGCACCAAATTCAACACCAATTTATGAAGACAATTAAACTTCATTTTTTCTTTGATTGAAAAAGCAAGCATGATTTTCCTAGTAGATGTCCCAGGAGTGATATATTTCAGACAAAATAGTACTTGAACAATGCAGTTGCCATGGGGGACTTCAGGCAGTTAGGCAGCTTAGTGGGAAGAGGGAAGGTGTCAAGACAAGGAAGTGCCAGGTGGACCAAATGGGAGAGATGATGGTGTGGTGGGCTGAAGTCCTGCATGTAGGAGGGCTGGCCAACAAATGCAGAAGCATGGGCCACAACATCAGTGACAGTAATCAATTACTCGCGATGCATCTACTTGACTGGATTAATAAACACATAGCAGATGAAGCCGCAGTGTATCTATGGATGACTGACACATAGACCAGCAAAGTAGTGCAGATACCCAACCCTGTAGTAGGTGACACCAGCCAATAAACTTGTAGCCTGGGGGGAATAAAAAGAAAAGGACAAAGAAGAGATTCCTGTTTTCATGAGCTCCAGTTTTATGTGGAGGTTCATCCTTCACTGTTGTTGTCTTTGCGTATTTGTTTCCACGTCTCCGGGATCTTTAGCTTTCCAAAGGAGACACGAGTTGCCAACCCTCCTGTGTATAGTGGGCCTTTGGATTTACTCTAGTGCTCCCCCTTTGGTTAATCTGGTTCTGTGGTTTTGCCTTGTTAGAGGAGTACTTACTGGACTCCTTAGTTCTCCAGTGTGCCAATGATCACATTATGGTAATCATCTCAAGTCACCCCATGCCTTCTTGACAATGCAACATCCCCTCAAACCTTTCTTAATCTCCAAGTATAACTGCTGGTAAACAATTGTGCCAAAATGGCACAACTGTCCTGCCTACACAGTTACTCTCTCTCTCTCTCTCTCTCTCTCTCTCTCTCTCTCTCTCTCTCTTTCTCTCTGTCTCTCTCTCATATACTTTTCATTCATTCTGTTTCTCTACCAAATGATAACTAATACTGTATTTTGGAAATGTTTGTCATTTTTGTATGAAAGGTAGAAGGCTCTAGCCATAAAGTCTACACTTTAGTGTAGTGCCCAAGACCTGTTCCCTAAATGGGTATAGATCAAGCTTTGAATGAGTTCTGTTTCTTAATTCCAACAAGGTAGTTGCTAAAAGCAAGCTTTTAAGGCTCCTTTTCTTTAAATGCACTTTTATATGATTTATTAGGGTGTCTTAGAGGATGCACAGCTGAGATCTCCTCAGTTTTATAAAGTAAATGGCATAATCTACCTTATGCACACTGGCTTGTATGTACTTGACAAATCCCCACATGAGTGACAAAATATTCTAAGAGTCAACATCATGATGCCCTTAACACAATATTATAAAGATATTATAACTTTACACTGACCTCAAGATCCTTGGGAACTAAGATTATCTGCCAAAAATACCTGGGGAATTGAGCACAACTAGATTGGTTGAAATCCTCTCATAATATGCACACCAATTCTCTCATTCTTTATTCCTGTTAAGGTTTTTACACTTTGATATCTGGCTTAAATAAAAGTAATGATAGAAACTAAACTACTTAAGATCAAGTGTCAATAGGGCATTTTATTCTACTATTATATATAAAGTCAATGATGTATACACATATGCACAAGAACATTAAAAATATGATGCAATGAACCCAACATTATTTAAAGATAGCACAATTCACTGCATTTTAATACAAAATATTTTATGTAAAATAATAGAAGTCACAATAGATTCAGAGAGAATTCATATTCAATATAAGATAAATATTTAAAATATAAATTTCTATTAACAAAAAGTGAGCAAATAAATACAATTGATACTAAAAAGATAAACTTAACACAATATATGCAATGATTTTTAAAATAACCTGTACATATATTACAAAAAATGAATATAATGATATATGAAGTTTAAAAATGACTGTTAGAAATGCAAAGATACATTAACTCAGATACAGTGGTGCTTGCCTGTGATTCCATCACTGGGTAGGCTTACGAAGGAGGATCTCTGCAAATTCAATGCCAGCCTCAGCTCCCTACTGAGTTAAAGGCAAGCCCTTAAAATACATAGCAAGTCCTTCTCTCAAATGAAACAGAAAAAAAGGAGTTAAATGCTTACATTTCATGCAAAGTCCCATATCCTGCCTGAGTTGATTTAAAGTTTTATTTGAAGAATAGCAAGTTACCACTTTTTATAAGGAAGAATAATGAGAAAAGTATGTTTTGCAAAGGATGACATGTTATCAAATTATTAAAGGTTTCATTTACAGAAGACAGAAACAAAGTATTCTGAAACAACTCTGGTTACTTTGTAAAAAAATTAATATGAAAATATATTATGCATTCATAATAAAATATGTCAAGAAAAGAATAACAATTAACAAAAACTCCTTGTTCTTTCTCTGTCAGGAAACTCTTTATAACATTATGATCAGTGGAGTCGATGAGATTTGGGGACAGGGAACTGTGAACACTTTGCCATCCTATTCCTCGCATGGTAGTTCCAGACTGTCATGAAACCTCATGTGGTATTCTGGAATCACTGTGGTAACACACTGTTTGCCATTCTTCTCATGCCAAATGTAACATAACAGGTAAAGTGTCATAACCAAGTGCAACTACTGTGCAAACTACTGGTTTGGATATATCATAAACTTGTCTTATGCCTAGAGTTGTTTCTTTCGCAGCACACATTATGTTTCCTCTGTATCTTCATCTTCATTGCTCTTTTCAATATAATAGCTATGTTAAATATTCCACTTAGAAATATGCTGGGAATATGATGAACATTCCTTTAATGGACATTAAAGAGATGAGTGGGTTATGTCTCTCCATGGAACGTTAAAATTTCTTACATTCTCTACACACTGAGATGCTTTCCATTTAACGCACAGCTTTGCTGACCATGTGTATCAACAATATTCTTCTCACTGCAGTCTTCATATCTTTGTTTCTTAAAGTGTATATTAGAGGGTTAAGGCTGGGTGTGATGATTGTGTAAAAGAGTGTAAAGAACTTTCCTTCCTCCTGTGATGTGGTACTCTGTGGTGTCATGTACATATAAATAGCTGGCCCAAAGAAAAGAACTACTACTGTTAGGTGAGAACCGCAGGTATTGAGGAGCTTTCTCCACCTTGCTGCTGACTGCATCCTCATTACAGCTTGAGCGATGACTCCATATGAAACAAAAATTAGTGATACAGGCGACAGAAGAAGTATAGCTCCAAAAACAAAAATAGCAATCTGAATTGCTCTTGTGTGAGCACAAGCCAATTTCATTAATGCTGGTGTCTCACAGATAAAACTGTCCACTTTTCGCTGACCACACCGTGGCAACATGAAAACCCAGGAGCAAACAGTTATAGCACTGCCGAGGCCACCCAACCAGCAGATCAGCACCATCTTCTGGCAAAGCCGAGGGTGCATTATGACTGTGTAGTGCAGAGGCTGACAGACAGCAGCGTAGCGATCATAGGCCATCACTGTCAAGAGAAGAGTTTCTGTGGCAGCAAAGACCAAGGCAAAGAAGAACTGGAGGAAACACCCTGCATATGTAATGGCCTTGTTTGGACCCCACAGATTTGCTAGCATCTGGGGGATAATGCTATTCGTATAACCCAGCTCCAATAATGACAGATTTGATAAGAAGAAGTACATGGGGGTGTGAAGCTGAGGATCTAGGTAAGATGCGATTATGATGGTTGAGTTTCCTACCAGAGTCACCATATAGCAGATGAAGACAAACACAGAGATGATGGGCTCCAATTGGGGTTGATCAGAAAACCCTAGAAGGATGAAGTCTGCTTGCAAACTTCTGTTGCTTGTTTCCATTCTACTTATGCAATGTTAGGAATCTAAATCACAGAAATCAAAATTAATTTCACTCCAAATTAGACCAAATAAAGCAATAAAACGATAAAAAAGGATATATGCAAGTCATAGCATTTTTATTCATCTTAATATTGCCAATGGTGATAATAGCATTTAATTGACATAATGTATTTAAAATTCCATTAGCTTTTTCATCTTTTTTTGCACACAATTTCTTACAATAACTTACACAAGTGCTTTTACCTTTATTAACTCTCTGAAAATAAGAAAAAATGTCTTCTTTGATGAATTTATATACAAAATATAATACGTGAGTTATCTCAAATGTATGTGTTGTAAGTACTTTAATTAGAGTATGATGCTATAACCATGAGCCAGTTACTGTTTTTGTCAATGTAAATTATGTAAATTTAGTCCTTAGTTTTCCTTTTGATTTCAAGGGAAATAGTAGGAAAAAAGGTCCTCATTATTTTTATTAAAATAAAATAAAATAAGATAAAATCATTATTTTTATCTATTATAAATGATAATGATATCATGTATGTCTGAATCATTATTCTATCTACTGCTTATTCCTGTTCATAATATTTATTTTACTGTTATGGTATAGAGATAGCTGGGTAGCAGTAAAACAAGCAGAAGAGACCTCCCCAACTTCTTGCTCATGATTCAGATTCGCATGCGCCAGGAAAGGAAAGAGCCGAAGTGTCCACCTCTGGGAAAATGGATACAGAAAATGTGGGTCTTAAATAAATTATATTGATATTCACATATTGAAAGAAACTTTGTCATATGAAACAACACAATTGTTCAGTGGAAAAAAAACGAGGACATAAAATCAAAGACTGCATGATTCAGTTCATGTGCAATGTTTAAAATGTTGAGTTCATAGAAGTTGAAAGTTGAAGCATGGTTTCCATAGACTGAGAATGTAGGAGAAAGCAGGGTGAAAGGCCCATTGTGGGTACTAAGCTACAGTTAGCCAGGAGTAATATGTTTCCCCACTGCTGCACAGAAGGGAGACTACAGATAAAAGGATGGAACTGTACATTTTAGAAAGCTAGAAGAGAGTGTTCAGTGTTCACCATGAAGAAATATGCTACCAGTTTCAAAGAGGTATATATGTCCACCCTGATATAAACTGTAACACATACCTGTTATTGCATCAATGTGTATAATTTTTCTTTTTATGTATAACTTAAAACAATTATAATTTAAATGAAGATGTGTTTTGAAGTATACCTAAATTGAACTGGTGTTGGACATTTAAAGAGATAAATTCTAACATTAAAATGTGACTCAGAAGCTGTGAATCCAGACTTCTATGCTGCATATTCACACAAGTGCTGTCTTCTCTTCCACTTTTGCACTTGAGGCATCACATTCTGTCATCAATGACCCAACACACTTATATTTTGTTCTAAGATTCCTCCTTAGGAATTGTCTCCTCTTCATTATTTTTGAAAACAGCAAACAGTATCATTGGTTTTGCACTGTTTCTTTTACTGAAATCTAGTTTTAGTGTAAAACAATGCATGTGGACAACAGACAAACAGTGAGGCTGATCAGTTTACATGAGTAGTCCCATACCTATGGCCTGAGTCAATCCAGGGAAGGCTGCTGAATGCTCCTGGCTTCTCCTTGTCCCCTGTTCAAATTGCATCCCTTCCCTGCCCATCTTTTTGAGCTCATCCTCTTCTATTCCAATAGCTTAGTTACCTAAATGAACACTGTTTAGTTTGGCTCATGGAAAAATATTAGGGGTCTTTTAGGTCTGTTTTCATATTGGAATCCACTATGAAGTAATACTCTTAGAATCATCTTTCCAGACAAAGCACCTTATATCCTGCTCTGAATACTTTATGCTCTTTGTTCGCTTTGTTTTTCTGGTTCCTCTGCCATGGATGCACCATGCTTCACCCAATGCCTCAAGTAGTGTATCACAAAGAGCACAGTTCCCAGACCTGCAGATCCTGCAGAGGGCAGGGGACATCTGTGCTCTGCCCACAGCTTCTAAAATAATGCTACCTCTTTTAGTAGAGGTAAAATTCTTGTAGCTTTGCTCAGAGGCCCAACACATGCTTTTTTGTTTATTTTTGTAATAAAATCTCACCATGTTGCTCTGCTTGGCCTTGGGCCCCTGTGCCTCCTTCTGTCTGCTCCACGAGTAGCTGGGACTGCAAATGAACCCCACCCCCCAAAGTGTGGCCTTGGCAGAGCTGGAGATGTTTGCAGGACCAGTATTTTACTTTATGCAGTTTAATATTATAAAGTCCCAAGAAATACTTTTCATTTTAAGATTTTTGCCATTTTCCATACTTACTTCAGCGTGGTGCTTCAATATGATATTATTTTATTCTCTATTTAAAAGTGTTATGTTAAAAATGAGAAAATATAGGAGCTGATAAAATAGTTAAACAAGCATACTACCTTTTAACTGAAACAGCTTTTTTGTTGTTCATTTATGAACTTTCTTAAAATCCTAATTTCATTTGAAACAGTTTTCTTAAATTAGTGAAATTTAACACAAAATACTCCAAATACTGACAGTTAAATTGTATGTGCCTAATGATATAGAGAAAAAATTGAAACAAACTTTCAAAGCTGCCCACTGATGAGGTATTGAACACAGAATGATTTAATGTATTCTCATGTACATATACTAAATAACCAAGATAAATATAAATATTGTATGTCACAAACATGACAAAATAACAGCAATAATGAAAATGGGGAAGGGTATGTAGAGATGGAGAGAGGAAAGTGGATGGGGGGAGCAAAAGGGTCAAAAGAGGCAAGGAAGTTTTGTGAACACATCTACTCCCCAAGATGAATATAAACTTCCTGTGATGCAAAGATGTACTAATGAAAAAGGTTGTCACTTTTTACAATAGAAAACTGCCAGTTTACAAATGAATCATATTCATTGAAGCACTAACTTATCATAATGAAGGAATAATACTACTGTATTCAAACAGTCTACCCTGAAAAACAGAACATCAAAATACTTAAGATCCTATACTCAGATGCTGACCATCTGTGGATTGAGAGTGACTTCAGCTGCTTCCTCCCTGTGTGAACTGGAGCAGATGATCAAATGATGGACATCAGTTCCTGATCTCTAAAATAGATATCCAAGCAGAACCTGCTTCACAGGAGCATAGTGCTATCATTAATAAGGTGGGGAGTACAAAATACAACACAATGCTTGACAAGTGATAAGCAGTTAGAATCTTCAAACACACTCACTGCTCCTGCCAAAATTTAAAATCCTTCCCTGAGCAGAGATGAATATACTTGCGTTTCATACCTTTCACAATGTTGCATTCACATCAGACTGAGTGCTAAGCCATCTAGCATCTGCCTTCTCATTTTTTTTCTTTCGAAGGTAGCAGAGTGTTCTTACCAGAAGACAAAAATATTAGAATCTATACTTTGTTGAGGAGAGAGTCCATAGCTTCCATGATCTTATGCAGTCCAAATGCTCCCATTTTCTTATGATGATGTTAAATTTCATTAATAATCCAGATTGGTGGAGAAATTACAGGAGCCTTCACAAATTAGCTTAGCTACCAGTTATTTTATGATGGGAATTGACATCATATTCCCACTCACAGTCAAACACTATGGCTGAGCTGAGCTGAACCAAATTTAGTAACTATTTTGGATTCAAGAGACCAACTACATGTGGAACCAGGCAGAGGGTGGTGGTGGAAAGTAAATTAATTATCTTTGACTAAATACAGTGTGAGTTCATTATTTGAAATTTTGAGCTTAATCTTGGCACTCATGTCCATAGATAGATTATTGCTTAATTAATGTTCGTGTACATTTCTCTGTATTACAGAAATTATCAACATGACCAGGGAATAATTTATGTACAACCCTGTAGGATACTAGCATTAATGTGGTTTAGAACTCAAGGGAGTGGTGCTGCCGCAGAAGTGATTAAAGAAATCATTGACTTCGTCCAGACTCTGATATTCAACAGTTTCACAGATAGCTCCCTTAAGGCATTACATTTCTTTTCCATTATAAGATAAAATATTTGAAGTAAATTTATTTCTGAGATGAATTAATTTGTTGAATATGATACTGAAAATTCCAAGTTGTTGGGCTGCTTATGGTGCCTAATTGAGATTTTTCAAGGATAAGATTCTAAGTTTAAAGAATGCACATGTGTAAGACATCAGCAACAACAGCAGGCAGCAAGGATCAGCACAGATATCTGCCTTCATCTTTATTGTACAATTCTTACACAGGATGCTATCTTGTGTTTACATTCATACATAGCGCTGTAAAAAGTCCATGCATGTTTACCTGCGTTAAGTCATTGTTACTTAACTATGATCCACTGTGTGCCTGTGTTAGATAAGTGGGGTCACAAACTCAAGTGTCCTTAGACACCGTTGAGCTTTGAAGGAGTCTGAGTGTTTCCTCATATTGTACCACCTCAAAGTTGAGGGTATATAAATGTAACATTTAAAAAAAAATATTTAAAAAAAAACTAAAAAAATGGGTAGAAATAATACACACTTTCAAAGAAAAAATAAACAGTAAGAAATCACTAGTTGATGACTACATATTGTCCTCTTACAAAAAGTTGTTCAAGATACAAAAGTGAAAGATACAAAGTGGAGGTTCAAATAGTGAGACTGCAAATGGTTCCGATCAACTATCCAACAAAAACTTAGTAACATGTTATCAATCCTATACACTTAAACACAAATGCAGTTATCCATATCTTCAATTACGTTAATATTGAACAAAGCAAAGGAGGCTAAAATTACTCTAAACAAAGAATAATAGTATTTCTGGATTTCACATCATAGTAAATGTAACATTTTATATGTAATATGGAAAAAAGTACCTCCTTGCCATTGAGGTTAACATGTCAAGAACCAGGTGATTTTGCAAGACCACTTTTTTTTCATTTGAGTGGTTGCTTCCATGAGCAACACCAAAGCCTGGCACATAACTTTCAAGGCCTGGGCCATATG